ATTTCAGTTTGAAAAATCTGCGAATTGAAAAACTATTTTCGAAAACTAAATAGTATGTGCTGTAGACAACTCTTGAAGCTACAAAATATCTATGCAACATTTTTCCTGAATTTGTTTAGATTTATAAATAAATTGAGTTTACTTTGCGTTAACGACGTGACAGAGTACGAATAACACGCATTGTTTACGTGAATCTTCGCTAATCTGCCATAAAATCTACGACTTCTACTAACTAACATATACTTCTTCGGAACTTCTTTAAAAAGCAACCTTCATTTTTGTTACACAGATTTCCAGGAAGTTTGGGTATTGGGCAAAGATTTTGCACGAATGTTACTTCAGCAAAAACTTACAAGAGAACGTCCCCAATTATCCAATCACTTTTGAGTGGAAAGTATATGCATCATATGATCCCCACTTAGCAATGAATATTCGGGAAATAGTTCGAGTCCATAACTTATTGTTGCTGAGATATTGCATTTTTGTGATATATTTTTATTAGAATGTCCTGGTCCCCATCAGGTACACGAGAAAAACTGATTTTCGAATTTCAACTTGAAACTTTGCGTATAGATAGGCTTCAAAAAGAAGAACTTATTGTTTCAAGTTTCAGATCTTTTCATCATTCCTATCCTGAAATATGAACATCGAATCTGCCTGTGTAGATGATCAATATAAGACCCTAATTATTACCATATGCATATGATAGGATAGGAACATCGAAAATATTTGAAACTTTCCCGATAAACTCTCCTTGTTAAGGCCTATCTATATGCATAGTTTCAAGTCGAAATTCAAAAATCTGTTTTCCTTGTGTACTTGAGGGGGATCATGGCAACATTGAAATAAAATAATATGTATTTTTTTTTGTTTTTCGAATTCATTTCTGGATAACTTTCAAGATTTTTCAGACAATAATGATCAAGTGCGAAAAAAAACACTGACTTCGATATGCTTAGAAAGCATAATTACACATGATTGTTTGTAAATTTGTAATTATCGTGGAAGATCGTTAGCGACGTGACTCAGCTCGACTAACTACATACTCTAAAAAGACAGAATAGAGAAAAAAGAAATATACGATATACTTACTGAGTTCATGAAACTATGTTTACATAGAAAGTTTGAAACTTGACGGACGAATACTTTAGGAGAAAAAAAACTTAATGTAAAATTTCGTTAGCGACGTGACTGAGAAAATAGAAGGTTTTTAAACTAAATTATCTCCAAAATAAAACGAACTTTTTTTCTTATTTGTGAATGATTAGAAACAACATTGAAGAAACTCTCGACCCATACGGAAACAAATTGTTCTATGCTTTTACTTCATGTAAAAGCGACTATGTTTTCTCACGGTAAAAATATCTTGAATTTCATGATGCAATGGAGCTTTTAAAACATGAGATTTTCCTACTGTCTGGAATGATGCGAATTAAAAATGAACATCGATTTCATAAATTAGAGACCATAGGCTAAGACTCTGATGTATTTTCACAAGTCTGCTATGAGTTTGAAAAAACACGAAAAATGTCCTATTCTGCCTGATTTTGTCCATATATGCTCTAAATTTGATTTTTGTAAAAAAAAATATCCAAGTTAATCCAATGTTACATATTTTTGAGAAATATATTTTTACAATCTTTCAAAAGAGTTCGAAATCAATGAATAATTAAAAGAAAAATAACAAAACCTAAACAAGTTCATTCATTATTCATTAGTTTGTCATTCACTTATCAGAACTATTATTTTCATTGTGATAATCATTTTCAAAACGACTATTAATCAGATAATCTCGGAAATATAGCATTATTCTTATTATTTTCCCTTGAATATATTCGTTTTTTTCATTGTTATTGTTGATGTACTACCATGTTTTTATTTTATGTATAATTTAAGGACATTTTAAAGTGTACAATGTGCAATGATGATGAAAGAAAGTGTCTTGAAATGATAGTTTTCTCAAACATGAAAAACGAAATCATTATAGAAATTATAAAAGCATTACGAAGACGAAAATAAAAAAAAATTGTTGCTACGGAAAACTTTGACAGTAATCCTTAATCATAACATAGCTATACTTCAGAAACGATTATATCTTGGGTAATGAGTTATGAGCATTCTAGTTTTTCTTCAAACAAAGATATCTCAATGTAGAAAACAAATCTCATTATATTAAATTCGTCATTTTGCAGGTCAATGCTGCCTCCATCATAAATACAAAATCTCATGTCAAACAGTTTTAGTATATTTAATTTATGAAATAAGTTTCAGATTAAAGTTTATGGAAAAGTGACTCATATCTTCAAGTAATTTTAACTATATGCCTTGGCATTCCTGTGTGATCTGAGTTTACCGAACCCTATGTATAGTCAATATATCAGATAAAAACCAAATTTTGCCAGACTCAAATTTGATTCGCTTTTGGTCTCTATGTGGGATATCTTGCCACTGCTATGTCTGTAATAGATTGTTTTTTCTTTTGATAAAACAATGTATCGATGTTTTTTTTTATACCTAAGAATCAGTTCTATTTTTATTGATTGTAATAATCGATAATATTAAACTAATAATTAACAAAAGAATTTTTCTTTTGAAAATATTTGTCCCAAAAACAAAAAGACTTACAATTAAATTAATAAAACTAATTAAAAAACAAGACTAATGATTGTAAAAATAACACATTAATTTGTTTCCATGTAGATCAAGTGTTTTTGATGATTGATATATATTAATTGATGAAATCGAAACGTAGCCAGCGTCCAAAATAATCGATGGACGTCGTCTACTATCATCTCCATATGAATCCATATCATCTAGAAATATATTAATATTATTATTCAGAGTTTTGGAAAAAAAAATAACACAATATATAAAAAGGAATATTTATATGTAAAAAGAATATTTTTTTTGTATGTATTATTTGTAAAGTATATCATCATCATGTTCGCTATTTGAATGTGAATTTGTATGTTTTTTGACGGTTTTGGTATTCTATAAATAATTGTTTTCATAAAAGCAGCTGCACATAATGATGAAAATGGTTGCCATTCTTTATTTGAAGTTCCATCATGATAATCATATACTCCACGTATAATCATAAATGATTCTGTACGATTTCCTTGTATAGCTGCGATGACTTGATCGATTTCCGAATCAAAACATAAAACATTACATCTATCACATAATGTTGTTTTTAAATAATCATTTGTTAAAATATTTTTTCCATCAGCAATCATACCAAAACATATTGTTGGTCGATAATAACCTTTTTTTCTTTGATCAAGATGTTTAACTTCCGCAATTTCACGATTTTCCATTTTAATATAAAGACGATCATTATTAGGTAGTAAACATTCAATATTATGTGATAGTAAATATTGTATACCTTCTTCAAGAAATTTTTCCCATGGATATTTATGTGTTGATAAACGATTTAAATATGTTTGTTGATAATTTTCTTTAATTGGTTCTAATAATTGATAAAGTTGAAAACTTTTTGCTTTATAACATGTTGGGGTGTGGGTGTGGGTGGATGTGGTTGGAGAGAAGATTAATTCACACCCACACCATTTTCTATCCATTTACTCAGTTAATACATATGAGAGTGAAGAGTGTGAGTGTGGGAATGGGTTTCGATATTTTCTTGTGGTATGTCGATACCTACACCCTAGTGGAATGCGTAAATTATGTGGGCGTAGCATGATCCATCGTGATATTCGATCTGACAATGTCGTTCTTAATGAATATTATACAACTAAAATTAATGATATAGATATTGCATATAGAATTGAAACAAGGGCTCAACAAAAGGTCATAAATAATGGATGTATATTTTATAGGCCACCAAGATTTTACCAACATAAATGTGATCAATCCCTCGACGTATTTATATGTGGTCTTAAATTGTACTTAATATTTACCGAGACTCCGCATGTTTATCAAGATGAAGGATATCAAATTATTTTAACTAAGAGAAGTCTCATTTTTCAAGACATAACCAAACGATGCGTTCATCATGGTCCTAAACGATCTCTAATAGCTATGAAACTTCAAACTATATTTATTTTGTATAAACTAGCATGCGAAAAACATGCTGCAGTCAATAATTTTTTTATTTTTTTACATGCCTTGTCATACAAGAGAAAAAGCAGCCACAGAAATTTTATTTGCTGGTGCAAGAGCTGAGTCTTATGACTTTACAGACGTAATGAAGAAAGTAGTAACAACGATGGTGACGATTATGATGACGATGGTTATGATTATTATGATAAGCAAGACGGAAGAAAACAAAAATTTTTCTGTAAAGATTAAAGACGCATTGCTTTCTTTTGCATCATGCGGTAGTTAATATATGGTTTACTGTATTTGTTGAAATAAATCAAACATCCACTGTGGTAAGTTTCTTTTCATTGAAAAATTTAAGTTTTGTTATGTATATTTGATCATAAAAAAAAGAATTTTTAAAGAGTCAAGTACTGATTGAACAGCATTTCAATCAGACTACGATTTGAAAAGTTTGTGCCATACAATCATATTACAATCCGAAAGTACATTGCG